ACACAGCATAATCACCCCTCTTACAGATCAAATTAAGCCCATTACTATCTCTAAACACCACCTCCTGCTAGAAACGTGAGGCAGTGAGGAAGAGAGGAAGACTGTCTGTCTGCTGTTGATTAACTCGTCCTCCAGGCCACCAAAGACATGCAACATGTGGCTCACCTGTTCCCTGCTGAATGTATGAGTATGCATTTACAGATAGGTGACTATAGGCCTTTTTCACTACAGGAATTTAATGAATTGCAACTTAAGGTGTAGCCACTGTCTGAGGTTCTTGTTGTGTCCCAATTGTACACCTCTGTGGGGGCGAGTTCCTGAACCTGAATTTCAACACTCCAGCTTCCAGGTACTCTCGACTTTACTGTATTTTATTTTCTCTTAGAATTGATTCTCTCTCCACAGTTACTACGCTGTCACCTCCCTGATTTCTGACTCATAAGAACATTGTGTTTGGGCCTGACTTGGTCCTGCCTTACTATGACAATGCCCCATCCACAGAACCATTGACAGTATGTATAGTGGAAAGACCTTATGGTTCTATGAAGTGAAGCCAGTGCGGAAATGTCTTAACCTTCATTCTATGTAATGACCAGCAGGGGGCAGCTCCATGGGCTGCAAAAAATAAATTTGATAGTATTGAGTCTTATTGATAAATGAGCTGACTTCTCACTTGATTTATGAGCTCAGTAAACAGTTTACCCATGAGTTTATAGTCTCAATCTCTAGTTTCAGTCTTCTTCCATACAGCATGATGCTCATTCAGTAGATTATGGTCCAATTTAGAGTAAAATAGACCATCTCAACCAGCTTAATGCACCAAACTCAGATCAAACTGTCAAACTAGGCAGTGCTGATCAGGGCAGCACCACTAACTGCAAAATAACATGGCTACGGCCATCATGCCAAATTTGAGGCTTCAAAACGAAACTCCACAAAGCAATGGGGAACGTCTTGATAGAGTCACACTTGCACAGAACACAAGGGATCGCTGCATGGGAGATCATGGAGTGACGCATTAATGCTCTTTAGCCTGGCATTGCAGACTAATTCACAAATGTAAATTCTACAACCTTTCAGTTCATTTTCGATTTCCAAGGGGTGTTGTCACCAAGCGCACAACAAAATGCCTCTGGATAAAATTGGATAGACCTATAACCAATCACAGCAATGTAACATCGCTCTGATTGGCTTAGTTGGTAAATTAAATTTACCAAAGATTTAAGTACAGTTGTTTGTTCTTCTTTTAGAGAAAATATACTATCCAGTTTGTTTAATTCTGATGTGATTGAACCAAATCAGTTCCACATCAGCTGCTTGGTGGTTTATGAAAATGCTTCAATGGCCAAAAAGTTTGTGCTTCTTTGTATAGTTTTTGTCAGATTGGCCTGACCAGATCCAGGACTGGTGGAAATCTGTCTGGATGGGAAGGTAGCCAGACTTGTCTGCTTCCCAGGCAAAGCACTCTCTCCACCATCATTAAAACACTCAATAAAGGGGGGAACATCTTTTGGTGGAATGCAGATCATCCATCCAGTAGAGTTTCTGCACTCAGTTAACAAACCAACTAATCTGTCATCATGAGCTTAATGTGTATATTGTTGAATTAATTTTATGTTAATTCAACTTAAAAAATGTTAAATTTTTAGATCAATTTCAGAAATTGTAAGCATGAGTTTGTATGATATGAAATGATTTGAATGAATGCACATTAGCAGGCATGGCCTGAGGGTTAAACTCTCCAGAGACACTTTCTCACTCATTAATGATGGAAACATGTTATGTGTCTTTTCATGTGTGCTAAGTGACAGTTGTTTCTCCTCATAATAACGAAAATAGTCATAAACATGATGAGGGTTTGTTATCAGTTCAGTCCCTGCCCCACTACACTTCTAAGCACCGTCACATGTATGAGCTCCAGGAGCAGCCACAGCTATGTGGCCTTTGTGGCAAATGAAGGAGTGACTCTTTAAATGGGGAACCTGGATTTATGTTGGTCACAGGGGTTAACAACAGTCATGTTTTGGTACCTCTGCTGTAGGTTTTGATTTATAGTGTCTATATTCACCTGTTGACAGCACCACGACAACACTAGGTGTATGAATTGTGGAATACTTACATTCCCCGCAGTAAATGTGTGTCCTTTAATTCACTTTTTGATATACAGAGTCATGACTGAAAGACTTTGTTTGTTTTTTTGTTAAGTGTGCTACTGTAATATCAGTGTTTACTGAGCCTTTGTTCAACCAGGTTCATGTCATCTTCACTCTTAATCTTCACCAGCATCACACAGCAAAAGGGGAATCTCAAGAACACAAAAAAAGCCTTGTTTCTTATTTTTTTTAAATAATCTTGTCAATCATGTTTTGCAATAGAAACATAATCTGGTTTTAAGAAAAATAATCCAACTTTGTTTTAAGATATTACAGCTCCTATTGAGCTAGATTTATCCAGTAACACATTTACAACAATGGTTTGCATAAAATCCCAGCAGAGGAACACAATTTTCTTCCTTATTTTAAGATTAAGACCACTTCTCAGTGTAGGAGAAAGTAGTCTTGTCCCAGTGTTTGAAATGAAGCAGCTGTTGAGTTTCTCATTGTTTTCATAAAAAATGCTCAAAATAAGAATTCTTCTGGTGTCTTGATTTAAGACAAAGTCACTTATTTTTATGTGTTATTTGTATATAATACAATACAATTTGAGTATATTTAAGAATATTTGGCTTGTTTATAGAAGGGCTGCTTTTGCAGTGCAGAAGAAAACACAAGCAACTCAATCACAGGCCTTGTTGCCTCCATGTCATATCTCTATATCTGCCATAGACTCAATGTGTTGTTAATGCATGACGATAAACCTGCTGGATTCTTAGTTTCCTTAACACTGTGCTCCATAAATGTTACATTTCCATACAGAAACATTATTCTAGTACCGATTTCTGACTATGCTATATTCCCTGACTTGCATATGGCTTAATATAGATGAATTAACTGTACTTATCCAGGCTGTAATGAAGCTAGAGAAGCAATTTTTTGTTGTCCTACTAAGAGCCACCTGACTCTTCTGGTAAAAACATTTCAGAGCTCTCTCTGTAGTGGGCACATCAAAATGAAGTTGATATTAATTTTTTCTCATCTGACTCTGGTATTGACAGCTACTGAGCATATTTCTCAATGTTGTGACTTTTCTTTAAAGTTACTAATAGGCTATTGACTGTTGGTCCAAATTCAAGCATAGAGGTCTTGGCAGAACTTATCCATATCTCATGGCTGGTTTTTATACAGCATTCTATGGTATTTTCATGTGACAAAATTGTAATTTGTAAAAACTTGTATTTAACAGGAAAATATGGAACTTTAACCATAAAGTCAACAATACTAATATCCTTTTATTGTTACTCTAATGCAGGACAAGGCTGTTTATCAGAGTGAAGGCTTTTTCAAAGAAATTAATGAAATGCTCAGATATAGGCTTACTGTTTGTGTATATATATATATATATATGTATATATATATATATATGTATATACACACACATTAATACACATATATACGCACATATATATATATATATATATATTACGGAAGCCCTAAAGGGCCATGCATTCATACATTTTATTTCCTCCGTTTTCCCGTGATAATGAGTTAATTTTCTCGAGATCTCGAGATAATGAAACTCTGTACAAGTATTCTCAGCATTATGGTAATTGCGGACAAACAGCGTATTCACTTCCGGTTTTCAAAATAAAGGTATTAAGAACAGTAAGCTATAATTCGAACCTACATTTAAAATAAAATATGTTACATTAAAGTGTTTCATGCGCCCATGATGAATAAAAAAACATACTTAATATCAAGCATTTTACTGCACCAATGTGGAGAAATGCCAAAACAAAAGTTCCATATTTGTACCTCCAAGTGGCATCTTTTCTAGTCCCATATTTGATCATTCGGTACTGTAAAAACACATTGCTCAATAATTCCTGGCTATGGATGGTATTTCTGACTTCTGCACATCTAAGACTACAAGCATACTTAATATCAAGCATTTTTACTGCACCAATGTGGAGAAATTCAACAATAAAATCCCATATTTGTACCTCCAAGAATAAGATAGATATTAATAGATATTAAGTATGTTGTTTAGCTCATCATGTAAAAAAACACTTCAATGCTAACATATTTTATTCCAATGTAGCTATGGATGGTAGCTACTGTTCTTAATACCTTCATTTTGCAAACCTAAGTACTTACAAGATTCTACGCAATTACCATAATGCTGAGAATACTTGTACACTCAGAATTTAAGTGCGGCTGATTTGACCACGGAGATCGGAGTAACGGCTGGCTTGACTGCAGTTATCATATCACAGTCATTATCTCAAGATCTCAAATTAATTATATCGTTATCTCGGGAAAACAAAGTTTCGAGATCTCGAGAAAATTATCCCGTTAAACAAATGAAATTAACTCGTTATCACAGGAAAACGGAGAAAATAAAATGTATGAATGCATGGCCCTTTAGGGCTTCCGTAATATATACATATATACAGTATATATTGTTTTAGTTAAGTTAAAATCAAGAAGGTTTAGCGACCCACTGTGACGCTTTGAGGACCCCCATGTCAAAATCACCTGGTCTTCAACCCCATTGAAAAAACCACCTAAACCCCACTATTATCTGAGACTTATCTTACACTTGTAGTGCACACATTGTAGCTCACATGTCAAACTGAGATATATAGAGGTCAGTTTAAAGGCAACTATCTACAGTTCAGATCATTTTAACAAATGATCAAAGTTCGTATGTTACAAATTAGCTGTAGTTAACTGTGGTGCAACATGTGCACATTTTAATCAGGTTCCACTTGCAGCTACGTTTACACCCCTACAGTTCTGGTTGCTAGACCCCTTCTAAACTGCCTATATAAGCTAGTCAGCTGCCAAGAGACAGAAACAGGATGTATATTAAGACTTTCTTAACACAAACGAAGCCAGAACTTTCTCTTGCTCCTGAACTTAGACTTTTATTTGGGGAGATATATTTGGTCAAACAATAGTTACTAAATACAAACGCTACAGTATAATACTGCTTAAATTACACTACAAGCTGATAAATATTAAGTTAAATTCAGTAAAAATACATAAAAGAAACAGAGCATACAGTACAGCAGTAAAGACAGTAAAGCTAAAGCTGCCTCGTCTCACCCTGAAACTCCTGTTCCACTTTCATCTGCTTATCTGATAAAACACAAGTTAGGAGCTGAAAGGTGTGTGATATACAACTATAACCCTTCATGTACCAAGACATAAAACACCCCAGCTCGTGCCTCTGATCTAATCACCGAATAGCTTGTTTGCAGTCACGTGATTCTGATGGAAGCGTGAAATTTAGTTCACGTTCAAAGCCACCAGACTTATTTTGATAAAAACATTACTTTAACCCTGCAGTACACGGGAGTTCCTGGTCTACCGCTCCTTCAATCGCTTAGTTTGTTTGTGACAAGGTAAAATGACTGTTATTGTCAAAGGGGTCTGGCTTTGAAGAGCGCATAGATGGATATAATGGCTTCAGTTCCCTGTTTGAAAGGTGCTGTCTGACGGCAAGGTAAAGTGGTGAAAATATTCTGAATATAGTGTACAACTAACCCTATATAGATAGTTTAAAATAGGCTACGTTTTGCTGCTGCCCCGTCAACAGAAGTACTTGCATTTTCTGTTTTACCTGCATTTTCTGGTTTTGAGTGTTTGTGATAATGCTTCCTGCGAGAAAAGCACTTCATGCCTTCCATCAGCAGTTTGCGCCACAAGAACACAGTGACATGGTGTCACCTACAAACAAGCTATTGTCCCCTCCTAAGTCCTGCCCCTTTTTGCTCTGTGCTCCAATAATAGGTCACTGATTTTTCACAGAATTTTCAAAATGGTTAAAAAGATAAAAGTAATATATATTCACCTATTAAGTTAGCTAATGTTGGCATAAAATTTTCTAACTAGCGAACTAACAAATAATGTAAATTAACAGGCTGGTTACCTTTTGCTATCATTAGCTTTCAGATGTAACTAGCAAACAATTGATCAGATTAGATTAGCTAGATAATAATAATACTAATTTTGCTAATATTAGCTAGCTCAGTTAAGATGTAGTATATCGCTTTTATTTTTTAAATCATCTTTAAAATGTGGTTGTCTTTTCAACACAGATGAGCCAAGCACATAGCATACCTCAGTCCAGAAAAGGTTGACCGAGGTTCTGATCAAGGCTTGCTCAACTGTTATTGGAGGACAGAGCCAAAAAGGGGCGGGACTTACGAAGGGTAAATTCACATTTGTGACTATAGCTTTGATGATAACATTCAAGTCACAGAAAACATCCACAGCATTAAAACAAAAAGCACAATGATGATTACATGAGAGGCTCAGACTGGGGCTAACTCTTGACAAATTGTTATGCTGAGAAAGGCCTCCATCCCCAGACTGGTCCACATGTAAACAGAGGCAGGGATGATGGAGTAGACATGTTCTTGCAGGGCAGCTCCCTCCTACTGGAAACCAGCTGCTCAGGTCAGGGATCAGACTGGGCAGGAGCGCTGTGGTGACACTGTAATGACAGCAGCTACCTGTAAAACACAAGCAGAGCAGACAACAGGCATCAATCACCCACTAGACACCATCGCCTAATGCTAAGCAATGGCGCCTTCGCAAAGCACACAGAGGATGCACAGAGCCTTACAGGAGGCCTGCCTCAGGCTTGTTATTCACCTTCATCTGTGAATTATTAATTGGTAAGAAACCAATTTGTTCTTTTTATTCTAAAAGTGTCACAGGTTGTGGGAAGTAATTTATGATTGGTGGTCAACGGCTGAGTTTTAATTAAGTCCAGGCCAGAGTTCACAGTGCTGGAGATGGAAGTGGTTCATTAATCACCAACTAGCAGACTAGCCCAGTACATGAAAGGCCAAAGCGCATCGCTTTTATCTGAATTACAGTTAATAGTTGGCCAACAGGAAACATGTAAGTGAATTAAGCCCTGTGAGGAAGGAGGATTCTGAGGATCATGTTGGCGACATAAATTTAATCCGATCAAAATATGGATTTAGAATGAATTCAGGTGCTTCCCAACATGGATTAATTAATATATGATCAACAAACTGAGAGGTATGACTCTTATTGATTCAAGTCACCGCACAATGAAAGGAAACGTCACGATTTCACGTAACAAGCATACCTGTCAGTTAACGAAAATAACTTAAAGATTGTAGGAAACTATTGTTAGCAAGCAAAAATGACAAAACACTGAGGCTTCTTGAAAGTGTTAGAAAAGGCAGTATTGGGCATAGAATCAGTGAGCTTTAGATTGTGCTGAGTCACTAGTACCATGTCAGAATGGTACCATGGGTAGCGATCAGTATGGTAGTTTTGTGCAGAAAACATTGGGAAACCACCTAAAATATGCAGCAAATGAACATATTTGTTGACCTGAAACATCACCAAACACTTTCTGCTATCGTTTTTTTCATCAGAGTGCTGTCTGAGGCTGTTTCCCATTTCCTTACAGTCCATTTATCAGTCATGTGACTGATAAATCACCATAGATACAGCATTATCATCATCCATTTGTTAAAAAGTACCATTTACAATGTACCATTACTCTATGCAAATCAAACATAATGATAAATATTAAATACAAATTCCCAGCAAAAAAATACATAGCTATATTTTGTTAGTTTATATTTAATTATATATATTAAAAATATATGAATACATGTATTTAATATAAGCATTAATACAATGTTTGCTATATGCTTAGTCAGCATATTTACAGATTTACAGCTTTACAGAAAGTGGCTTGAAAGTGAAATTATGAAAAGCTGTCACTGTAGGCAATAATGGTAAATCGTACATTTAGTAACACATAAGAAAAGACTCAGCATTGCCAGCTGCACAATATCTGTCAGTGTTTAGGAGACCCAACAATTCACTAGAGAATATCGTGTCAATGTTTACCTTTTGCCTCTCCTAGACGTGAAAAGTACGTGTGTGTAGGTGCAGTATAAAAAGTAATGGTGCAAACAACCACAGGATTTCCACCCAGGAGACCGTTGTCTTGTCAGGTACAAAATGCAACTTACACTGTTTTCTTAAAGCCAACCAAACCACAACCTCAGCAAGCTTCAGCTTGGCGGTCCTGACTCCACCAACTCCCAGCTAATCCAAAATTGGTCATAGATGTGGAGCGTGGGTGAAGCAGAGGCGGGCTGAATGAAGCCTGGTTACTGAAACCAGATGGCTGTGATGGCACCCACCTGTCAGTCAAGAGAGCCATGCCAATCTTAATCCTTAATATAATTTAAACAGGTGAGTTATATAAAAATTAACCCCCAGTACAGTTGTAACAATCGGAACAATTAGCTATAATGACCAAAATCACTTTTTGTACCAGGCTGTAAACATGTTTATTTCTGCTGTAAAGGAGGGCCTTGTGGAGATTGACCTGCTTTCGTAGCCAGTCTCAAGTGGCCGTTAGAGGAACTGCAGTTTTTGGCACTTTGCTGTTGCATTAGTCAGCTACAGAAGGTTGCTGTTTGGCTGTGACATGATTCTTGCTCAGTTCTTCACAATTCAGCCTGAAAGTTTATCTTTGTAAAAGTCTCTCAGCAAAACAATTAAGCACCAGATGACAGTCTACCAAAGACACATGGATGATTGCGCAGACACAAGGGTCACCACTAAACTGCTACAGACGTCTGCTCTATTGTACAATCAACCTGAAACTCTTCTCATTTCTTTCTTTATCCAGACCCTAACCTCCAATCAGACGCTTCCAGACGATCATTGAATGAGCTGCCTGTAGCAACGTCCCATCTTTTATTACTGCTGCTGAGGCCTGCAACTGACTGACCTCACACACACACACACACACACACACACACACACACACACACACACACACACACACACACACACACACACACACACACTCACAGTCCATTTAGAATGGAGAAGAATTAAAGAGAGCAGCACAGACACACTCAGGAACAAATTTTATTTCTTTTCATATAATATATTTTTTTATGTAGCAGTTATTTTAATTTTTACTGAATTGCACTCAGACATTCTAGCAATACCAGTAAAGAAGATTAAATTGAATAGAGCTAAGGGAAGAAGGCAAATAAAATTGTGTTTCCCAAGTTCTTTGATGGACTCAAGGGCTTCCAAATATTGAGCGATAAAGAAAAGATTAAAACTGTATTAGATGAGCAGAGCCAGGGAGTTCAAATTGACTTTTTCTACATATTTCTGAAAAAAAAAAAGCAATACAAATTTGAAAATTAAAACAAAGGGATTCCTCTTGTGACGGAAGTGACGTGCTAATAATGCAAACCAACAGACAGGTAGATCCTATTATCCACAGAGATGTTTGGGGGAATTTGGAAAATGAAAACCAGAGCGAGAGGGGATCACTGAGAGTGACGCGAGAGAGGCGAGCACGAGGAGGGGAGGGTGGAGCGAGAGGGAGAAAATAGAGAGAGCTGTAGGGAGAGGGAGAGTGATGAGAGGGCTATGAAGTTTGACAGGAGAATGAACATGACTACACTGCAGAGCTCGTCCATGAAAAGACCTAAGGCGTCCGTCAGATTGGTGATTTTGTGCCCATCTGCGCAATGTTCCAATGACCAACTGGAAGGACGCCAGTTTAGGAGGAAAGGAGGTGGATAGAGCAGATTTATGTCAAGGTAGATGTGAGTGTGTGTGTGTGTGTGTTTAGGGTGTGTGTGTTGTACAGAGAGAGAGAGAGAGAGAGAGAGAGAGAGAGAGAGAGAGAGAGAGAGGGGGGAAAGATAGATATTTTTGTAGAGATCAGAGGCCATGGGGTGACCGTGTCTGTTGGCTCACCCAGTCAGAGAGCGCTGCCAGTCACGGCCACATCAAAGCTCTGCCTGCCTGCCACCACAGAGAGCAAACCCCCTCTACTTCCGCAAGACACACACAAAAACACACACGCACACACATTTGTATGTATTCATCTCTCAGCCCATAATCCTGCTGGCAACCTTCACCACTACTTGCTCTTTGTTATAACCTTTACCTCAGCCTTGAAGACTAATCTTGGTTTATTCAAGTTTATTTTCGTAGTTATGGACATCATTTCAGTTCACCAAATTACCTGCTTAGATCTGTGCAAGACACACAAGCGGTAAGATGATCAGTCAGGCTGTAAACAAGCAGACAGTTTATCCAGATTATCTAAACATTTATGTGAAAGCTAAACTGTTGGTTTAGGTTAAAAGTCCAGTGTGTAACATTTAGGAGCATCTATTGGCAGGAATGGAATATAATATTCATAGGTATGTTTTCATTAGTGAATAACCACCTGAACATAAGTAGTGGTGACTTTGGATCACATTGTTGTTTTAGGAGTTTTTAAAAAATGTGACAATGGTCGAATTTCTGTTTGGACTTTTTTGGAAATTCAAGCAGCTATAATATATTTTTTATTAGAACTTGGTATCAAATGACGATGTAAAAACAAATGTAAAAAGCTATTGTGAGTTTCAGCACACTGTTTATCTGTTTAGCACAACTTTACTATTTTGGGTTACCCCTCAGCACTCAGAGTTACTTTTGGCTGATTGACAGGTCATTCTCAGTGAGTCAAACTAGGCATTGCTGATCAAATATGAATCAATATTCTGTTAATGTGTTGACTATTTCTCTATCTAACAAGTTTATCTGGAATATGAGAATGTGTGTGACCAGACAAGCCAGTTGAGTTGAAAGCAAGCTTATCACACAGTATGTCACCAGCAAAAAACCAATATGGCAACGGCCTCAAAAATGGTACTCCACAAACCAATAAGTGATCACACACAATAGGTTCACACTTGGTAATAGGTAAAAGTAGGTCTAAGTTGAACCAGGAAGTGGGTCTGTAAATTGTGCTGGGTGTTTACAACAGACAGTTTGGGCAAATATACCATTCACCTTCGTTTCCTCTTTCAAATAAGTCTGAATAAACTGTGATTTTTTACAACCTGTGAGATCCTCTGACTGATCTGCCTCACTTCTTGTACTATGGCACTATGTTCCTAGATCTCAGCAATTACCTTTGTGAACACAGTGACAGGAATGAAGCCCAAAACTATGAAAATCGAGCCCAAGTTGCAATAAACTGGCATTGTCCTTTCGCACAAAGATAGGCACTAGTGTTGGTGACAGATGTCTTTTATTTTTATTGTGTTTTATTGAATTTAGACTTGGCTCTGACTCATACAAACTGATTCATGGACAAAACTAAAGCCCTTTAAAGATTGCCAAGTTGATTTTTACAACTCTCCCTGATCCTTTGATGAATTGTAATGAGCACCCGCCAGCCACAGGTGTGTGACATCCCATGAATCAATACACATACAAAGCTGTGTTGGTCTTAACATTGCTTTCACTAGACCCTTACTGAGAGGAACTGCATCAAATGTAGAAAAAATCCAATGCAGGGGACTGACTATGTTGAAGGTATAATGCTCCTCAAAATATACCCACACAAGTCAGTGTTTTTATAGCTGTAAGAAACTTAGCTTGTGCTAATGGTGGTGAGTCACAGCATCATCCAAACACTTCC